TATTTTCAGTACTAACATTTTACTAGTGCTTCTTTAAGACATGCACATGTGGAATACCACTGCCTCTAACTAATCAATCAAATTGCAGATTCCACTGAGTAGTTGAATATTATTAGTTAAATCAACCATAAAAATTATACTTTTTCAAATGAGGTTAGACTCACATGCTGAAAGGAAATCTGAGAGCATATTTAAAAGAAACCTAGTCAGCTTCTTAGCTTTTTGGAATACTTCTAAGAGTTAATTGTGTTCTTTCAGGAGAGTAAGCTTAAAAACAGAGGTGAATCTCCCTGTGAAGATTAAGGGGGAAAGATGCGTGAAGGAGACACTATGCATATCCTAAACACGGTTTAGTAGGAAAAATTCATGTGTTCAGACTTTTTGTTTGCCCAAGTTAAGGAGTTTAGCAAAATATTTCTCAAATGAATATAACTCCTTGCTTAAAGGAAGGGGTGATACCTTTTTTGTATCATGGACCCCTCTGGCTGTCTGGTGAACGCAAACACCCATCAGAATAATGTTTCTAAAATGCATAAAGTAGGATACAGAGGATTACAAAGGAAACCACCATCAAGATATTAAACAGATTTAGGGACTCAGGTTAAGAGTGTCTGTCTTAGTTTATTGAAGCATTTCTCACAATCCCCTCTTCTTTCCCTTTTCCTTCTGCCCCTCTCCCTCTTCTTCTTCTTCATATTCTCCTCAATTTTAATAGTCCCAGTGAGAAGTGATAGACATATCCTAGACTTTTTATATTACCACTTCAAACCATAACATTTCAGATTCTTCATTTTCAGTAAAGACACAAAAGAAGACATCAAAATTTCGAACATCACATTAGGGTTTATGTTGAAATTTGAGGAGTTAGCTGACCAACTAGCAGTGTTCAGGCCCCAGAGGGATGAAATGTTTGTGATATTTTTATTTTTTCATTTATTTTTGCTATTCTCTACTCTTTTGAACCAGCCAAAGCAAAGGATCAGTTATTTGAGCAATTGGTAACAACTCCCTCATGGTTTCTTAAGTGGCGTTTTGTTAAAGATTTTTATTTTAAAATTATACTTCTCCTCACACTACACCTTCAGACTAAGTTGAGCTATTAACAAAAGCATTTGCACATAGATTTATATTATTATAACGTGATCTAGGATTTCCATCGTTATACTATTTTGTTATCTCTGAAGGACTAATTAGTGCTCCCCTGTTTATCCAAATAATTGAACTCCAAAAATACATTTTGCACATGGTTCAAATATGAATGAAGATTTGATCTGAGTTCTCTGAACACATGTATGTGTATATTCAAAATATAGCCATAATGTCTCTTTGTCTCCTGATTTATGTTCATATTCTTCTAGTCCTGATTTTACTGCTAATTTGGTAAAGGGTAGACTGTTTTCCAGTTATATTCAAGTAACTTCTGTAGCCTAATTTTATTCAGCCTCATTCTTCTACAGAATTGCAGTAATGGTAGCTTAAGACAATTCTTTGAGGTAAGTTGGTATTATTTTACTGAGTGAGGAAGCTTTTTTTTTTTTTTTTTCACTGATGAGGAAGCTAAGGCAAAGTGAGGTAAATGACTTGCCCAAGGTTACACAGAGCCAGAATATGATTTGAACTCAGGTCTTTGAGACTACAGGCTCTCTCCCCTGTGCCACCTAGCTGCCTCAGCAGCCTTCTTGGCCAGAAGCTACAATGAACAGATTATATTTTGGGGTAGATCCATGTTAATTTAGTGTAAGGGGGTCTAGCATCTGCCCAGTAGAGGGTGGTGGTCTCTGGGGAAATGGTTTCTCCCCAGGAAAATCCTGATGATGTGTTAAGGAAAATGCCTTGGAGAGCCTGTGCAGACATTCTGTAACTAGTTCTGGCTGGCTAACCACATGGTGAAGGAGAGGCACTCTGATTGGCTTCAGAGTATTAAAAACGCCTGGCAACATCAGCTCCTTCCTCTTTGCCACTCCTTGGGGTAATGCCCTGTTTCACAGCTCCTGGTGAGTGACCTTGGGGTAAGAGGGAGGGCCTTTGGACCATCTTTCCCCTAGAAAGCCATGTAGCCCTGAAAAAATGATCTTTAACCTTTCTGTTATGTTTTGTTTTGTTTTTGTTTTGTTTTTTTTTTTGTTTTTTTTTTTAGTTTTATTTTATTTCCATTCTATTTGAAGGAGGCAGAGTCTCTGACCTTGAGAGTTTCAAAGGGTGGGAGAGTGAGTCACAGGAACCTAGGAGCTAGAATTCAGGCTAGGTTTTGTAGCAAGAGCAGTATTGAGGAAAAAGAGAAATTTTTAGGAGTTATCTTTGGGACCTCAGTGGAAGGACACGTTAGGCCAGGGGTGGGGAACCTGCATCCTTGAGGCCACATGTGTTCCTCAAGTGCTGCCCTTTGACTGAATCCAAACAAATTCCCTTAATAAAAGGGTTTGTTCTGTAAAACTTGGACTTAGTCAAAAGACCACACCCAAGGACCTAGAAGGCCTTGGGTTCCCCACCCCTGCACTAGGCAGTCATGCTACCTTTATATGTGTAGGTATATTGGTGGGACCAATGCGATATAGGAATAAGATTAAGTTCCCCCATAGGATGAAGGTGATATATGGGAGAGTATGTTCCAGAGGTAACAGAGGAAATGCTTATATATTTGTTTTTGCTGTAGCTTTAAAGTAAATATCCTTATATACATTAACTTGTAGCTCTCCTATAGCAGTCTTCAGGATTTGTGATTGGTCATTCTGTTGGTCAGAGTTCTTAAGTCTTTCACAATTATTTTCTTTTACAATATTAGTATAGATTTTGTAAAAAAAAATTGTATTTTTTATAAATGTGTTTTTTCTGGTTCTGCTCTCTTTACTCCACAACAATTCATACAATCCCAGGCTTCTCTGAATCCTGCTCTTTTGTCATATTTTACAATATAATGGTATTCCATTACATTCATATACCATAATTTGTTCAGTTATTTCCAAATGATGCCTCTCTATCCTGTTTCCGGTTCTTTGCTACAACACAAAGTGTTGCTATAAATATTTTTGTACATAGGGATTCTCTTCCTCTCTTTCTTTGATCTTTTTGAGGTATAGGCTTAGTAGAGGTGTTATGGGGCAAAAGGTTTGCAGAGTTTAATTACAGTTGGGGCAGAGTTCTTTGGAACTTTCCAGAATGATTGTACCACTTAATAGCTCTACTAACAATATGTTAATGTGCCTATTACCCCACAATCTCACCGACAATTGTCATTTTCTTTTTTTGCTATCTTTGCTGATCTGATGGGTAGTTAGGTATGAGGTTAGTGGTGTGCTGGAGCCAGCTCATACTGACTCTCACAAAGCAATTATTTAATTTTCAGAGTGAGCATTTACACCTTGGAAATCAAATAGGCAAATGTTGTAACAGATCGGGGCTTGATCTATTGTTTTGTTGATTGTCTAGATCAGAGGTTCCTAAACTTATTTGGCCTACCTCCCCCTTAAAAAAAAAAATTACTCAGTGCCCCTCCTGCAAATCTACTTTCTTTAATCCTTTAATGTTTTTTTTTTAATTGCATCATTTCAAAAAATATAAATTTTTTTTTAAATGATGCATCTTAAATTTAATAGCTTATTGTAAACTTGTGGGTTTTTTCCTGCATTGAAATTTTTATGATGCAATATTTCATCATGTAACCATATAGTATTATATTGTTAACAAGTCATTACATGCACATATTCCTGCCAGTGCATGCTTGACTTCCTGACAATGCTCACCTGCCAACACTTGCTTGTTAAGACCCATTGTTGGACTTGACCATTGGTCAGTTATAACTTGCATTTTGTGTGTTTATTTGGAAAATAATGTAATCACTATGACATTAACTCCGTTACACAGCAGATGAAACATGTACCAACAGTTTTTCAAAACTTTCTTATCTTCTCTTCTTAGCTTCCACTGCCCCCTTTTTATTCAACACCCCCCAATTGCACCCCAGGCCACTACCACCTCCCCATCATTCCAGCATCCTGCAGGGGGCAGTATCGCCCCTTTTGGGAACCTCTGGCTAGACTTAAGAAAGTGATAGGGAAAATGTTAATAATGCAAATTATATTTAAATGTGTGTTGTGGGTACAGTTGGGGGTGGAGGGATGGGAAGAGCCAGTTGTTAAGCATTTACCAGGTAGAACCTCAGAATTTTTTTAATTTGCTTTTTTCTTATTTGTGATTTGGAATGTTTTTATATGGTTGTTGATAGTTTATATTTCTTCTTTTGAATACTTATTGCTGGGAAGCTAGGTGGCGCAGTGGATAGAGCTCCAACCTTGGAGTCAGGAGAAGAGTTAAGATTTGGCCTTAGACACTTGATACTCACTAGTTGTGTGACCCTGGGCAAGTCACTTAACCCCGATTGTCTCAGCCAAGAAAAATTAAAAAAGAGTTGAATACTTATTGTCTGTTCATGTTCTTTGAACATTTACCTATTGGGAATGACTTTTATTCGCATATATTTGTATTAGTTCTCTATGTAACTTAAATATCACACCTTTATCAAAGAAACTTTCTAGAAAAAAATGTCCCCCAGTTTTCCTTCTAGTTGTAATTGCATTGATTTTGTTTGTGTAGAAACTTGTCAGTTTTATGTTCTAACTTGGGTTTTCCCTACTCTAAGCTCTCAGTTAGGAATTGATGAAGGAGACTTTATCCTAATGACAATAAGAAAGGACTTTCTAACTGCAAAGGAATAGGGGAAAAGGGATAATGGGGGAAACTGATACCCTGCAAATATCTCAAGAGATATCTCTGTCTTTCTAGTCTGCAGGAGCAATCAGGAAGAAAGTCGGCTTGACCTTTGAGCTATAGATCCTAGGCTTGAGCAGAATGAGAATCATTGAAGTCTAAAGATGTGGAATTCTAGAAATAACCATAGTTCCTTTTTCTATAAGAAATTTTTCCCTGATAATGATTTGAAGGGAAAGTAAAATTCATGTCTATTTTTGAATAATTAACATTTAATTTCTTTTTCATTTTTTCAGCAGAAAGAGAAGGTAGTCATAGCATTTAAGCTAAATGATGACAACCTTAAAGAACAAAGGTAAGTCAAAAGTAGGAGATGCTTCTTTTCCTTAATACCGTTTTGTTGTTGTTGTTGTTTTTTTCCCTCTTCGTAGTCCCTGACAATCCAGAAGCTCTTTCCCATTAAGGACAACCCTTTCAGCAACTTAAAAAAAAAAGTCAGCTGGGTGGTACAGTGGGTAGAACTGGGCCTGAAATCAGGAAAGCAGCCTGAGTTGGAATCCTGCTTTGGATGCTTTCTAGCTGTGTGATCCTGGGCAAATCACTTAACCTCTGTTTGTCTCAGTTTCCTCACCTGTAAAATGAGGGAATTGGAATTGGTGGCTTTAAAAGTCTCCTCCAACTGTTAAATCTGTGTTTCTGTGATCCAGCTTTGTCCAGGTCTGTTTTCTTTCTCCGGTGGTATCAGTGACTGAATTTTCATCATGTCCTAGATTAGGGGTGGGGAACCTGCAGCCTTAAGGCTACATGTGGCCTTGATTGCAGCCCTTTGACTGAGTTCAAGTTTTACTGAACAAATCCTTTTATTAAGGGGATTTGTTCTGTGAAGTTTGGATTCAGTCAAAGGACTGCACTTAAGGACCTAGAGGCCACACATGACTTTGAGGCTACAGGTTCCCCATCCCTGTCCTACATTTCTATTCTGAGTATAGGAGAGACCCCAGTTTTGACTTTTAAGACACAACTACTTGGAGATGAAGAGAAGAGAAGAAGGTGAAAGGAATCAGGGTGGGATAGTTGGACATGGCAAATATCCACAGATACAATATCACATAATAATTTCATTGGACCATTATCAAACCAGTGCCATGTGAGGTCTGAGAGGAGAGGAAATTTTACTTAACGGATAGGGTGCTGGGCCTGAAATCAGAACATTCTAGGTTCAAATCCTGCCTCTGACACTTACTGGCCATGTCAATCACTCACTTCACTTATCTTAGCTTCAGTTTTTTCTTCTGTGAAGTGTGGACAATCATATTTGTTGTGCTTTGGAGGATTGAGGCTCAGATGAGATAATGTATGAAAAAGACTTTTGCAGACTTTAAAATGCTACATGTAAACGTCAACTATTATTGTTAGAAAGGGTAGTGCTCAGGGGAGGATCAGGGAAGGTTTCATGGAGGAGGTGGCATTTGGGTTGGACTTTAATGGGATGTGGATAGGGACTGGACTTGTCATTTCATTAGTATAGGGAACTCCTAGGAGAAGAAATTTTCTCAAACAGTGCAGGTCAGCACTTTCTCTTCAAATTTTAGTCCTGGAGAGTTGTCTAAAGCCCTGAGTAGTTAAACGCATTGCCTAGGGTCACATGGTGGGTAGGGGTCAGAGGTGGGACTCCAAAGTCGGTGGTCCAGGCAGGCTCTCTAGCTGCTGTGGCTTGCTGTCTCTTTGGCGCTTTAAGGGATAGGTAAGATTTCAGCAGTCAAGGAAAGAGAAGAAAGACATTTTAGGCATAATAAGCAGTCTGAGTGAAGGCTTGGAGTCACAAGAGAACAGGCACGTGTCCAGGAGCAGAGAAGGGTTCAGTTTTACTAGAACATAGAAGCTAGAAACCTGGATGGCATTTTTCTGCTCTCATGTAGCTTGAGGTTGAGTAGGGGAGATAAAGGCATCTACAGGTACCTATAATGCAAGGTAGAGTGTAATAAATGTCATTCAGAGAGATACAAACAAATTGTTCTAGAAGTTTGTTAGAGATTATTTCCATTTAGAGGATCATTAAATCTTCAGGAAGGAAATGATATTTTACCTGAGCATTGGTAAGTTTTCAGTTGGCAGAGAAAAGTAAGAAGTGCATGAGCAAAGTAAATAGCAAACTGTTATAAGTGTATAAAATCCATGGAAAGGAGTACAAGGAAATATGGCCATAGAGGCTGCTTGGAACCAGAATATCATGCTAAGGTGTTTGAACTTTATATTTTAAAGATACACTGAAGGGAATGGAAGACAAGACTTGGAAGAAGAGTTCCAACTTAATCCTGGGTAGGAAAGAGAGTACCGACAGCCTAATTACATAAAATGCCACCTATGGATGGTCCCTCTAGTAATGGCAAGAGAACTAAATAAAATATCACCCAAAGATAAAATCAGTAATCTTTCAAAAAACATTATTTCCCTCACATTTGCATAAATTAGCTAACTGAATGTCTGTGTTTGTCACTTTTATATAAGCTCCTGGGTACATGTTAAATACTACTAAATGACCAAATTTCAATTTCAGAAGGTGGGAAGGGGCCAAAGAAGGCCTTTACCCCACCTGGACAGAAAACCTGCACTGTGATCCCTTGCTCTCTGGATGCCCCTGACAATGAGGAAACTCAAGGGATCGGACTCCTTGGAGTGAATACCAGTCAAGACCAGCCAAAAGACAAGACACAGAAGAAGAAAAAGGAGAAAGTCACAAGAAAGAGTTCAGGAAATGACAAGGAGGGGAAGGGGCCCCTAGCTACCAAGACTGGCAAAGAACAAGACACTAAAGGAAATGAGAGGAAAACAGAAAAGGTACCTTCCATTCAACCTGGTGGAGATCATGCCATTTCTCTCCCTGTCCTCTGGCAGGACAGCTTCTCCCATAACTCTCCCATGTGTGGAGTTCTGCAGAGTAGGAGATGACCTAGTTTTATTTGCTTTTCTATTTCCTGGTCTTTCTCCCCTACCTCTTAACTTTTGGGACATTCATTCTCATATATAATCTCTCTCCCTCCTACCACAACTTTAATCTCTTATTTATCTTATTATATAAAAGAGTTTTAGTCCTAGTACTTATGAATAAGGAAGTAGGGGGAATACTTTTTGAGTCCTTTCTCCACTTTGGCTTCCTAGCAGACCTGGAACTGGTCCAGGAAAACTTTAGGTGAATTAACCCCACGCCCTCAACCATGTGAGTTCCTTTCCAAAAATGTCTACCTAGCCATGGTGGAAAATGGGAGGAGTCTCAGAGCGCTCTCTCTCTCTCTCTCTCTCTCTCTCTCTCTCTCTCTCTCTCTCTCTGTCTCTCTCTGTGTCTCTCTCTGTGTCTCTCTCTCTCTCTCTCCAGGAGACCACAAATCTCACCAGTGAACAATTTGAGGAGATTGTCCAGTGTGTGCTTAAGAAGTCCCTGCAGGACTGCCTGGATATGACCTGTGGTAGGAGAGGTTGGAGGCGGGGAGGGCAAAGTGGCAGGTGTCTGAGCAAGAGTAGGCTTAGCAGCTGCTCCATCCCCCTACTCTGGTAGGTACAGAATAGAGAAATTCTCAAAGGGAGCTTGAGAGACCATCTAGTTTATACCTGAACCACTAGACAGTATTATAACCAAACTATCCTAGAATGAGTATTTTTTTTTTTTTTTTGCTTAGGCAGTCGAGGTTAAGTGACTTACCCAGGGTCACATAGGTAGTAAGTGTTAGGTGTCTGAGGCTGGATTTGAACTCAGGTCCTCCTGACTCTAAGGCTCTATTCACTGCGCCACCTAGCTATCCCAAATGAGTCCATTTTTAAAGCCCTTTACGTGAGATTGGCAGATTGATCATCTAACCTAAATTATTTACCCATGGATTAAGTCTATTTTCTTGTGTTTACAGTATTTAGGAGGAGATGGATAATGGCCTTTCAGATATTTGAAGATTAGCATTAAGCTTCCCAATCCTCCTAGTGTCTTAGTTCTCTCTTTCCCAGGCTGCCTTAGTATATCCTTATTGACTTGATTCTATAGGGATGGAAGAGAAGCTAATCCAAAAAAAATAGTAACTAGACCACCTTTGTGGTCTAGTCCATGATGTCTTTTCAATTAGGTTATGAGCTCAATGAAATGTGTGTGTGTACGTGTGTGTGTGTGTGTGTATTCAATATCTTTCAAATCGATATCATCTCGCAGAAGGGGCTTGATGGACAAGGGGATATAAAATGGAATATTGGTCACTACTACTATACCCAAATATTGACATAAAGTACCACTCTGGGATGTGGGAACAGATGGTTTCAAATCAATCTGAAAAACTTCCTGGAACAAGTTAGTTTTAAAGTTATTGAAAACTAAAGGAGCATGGTTTTGGTTTAGAATAGGAAAGGCTTATACGCATACACATACATACAGGCATGTGTGAATATTTTGTGCAGACTTGTGATTTCGTTAGTATGGGGAATTCCTGGTTTGGAAACCCTGCACTACGGCAGATCAGCAACTCTTCTATAATTTACAGTCTTAGAGAGTTGCCTGGGGTATTGAAAGATGATCTGTATGCCTTTGGTCATACAGTTAGTATGTGACAGATGCAGGGCTTGAACCCAAATCTTTCTGACTTTCAGGCTTGTCCTCCACATACTGTACCTCTTCTCTCTAAAGAATTAGAGCTATACAAAAGTGGATTGGAGTTAATGAGTTTATTGTCACTAGAGGAATAAGATTCTTGGTCAGGTACATATTAGATTTGATAACTTTCAAGAACTTTCCAACTTCAAAATTTGATAATTATTTGATTTGGCAAATGGTCAGGGGCTGGCTATTCCAGGAATAGGAGACAGTTTAATCCAAAGTATCCAGGAGAGAAAGGGGTACTTATCTTCCGTCAGAAACTTATTATTTACAGCGTTATGATTTTGTGGGGATGGACTGGGGCCTTGGTTTTTCCAGAGACTTCATGTGCTCAACGCATTGAATATTCCCCAGGGACAAAGGAGACAAGTACTGCTACTACTGAGGTGGATAGGTAAGTTTATTCTAGTGAGACAGAGTACATCCCAAGAGTGGGCTTACCTTCAGTGAGTGGGACACTCCTTCCCAGAGGTTGCTTAGTCTATGAGATATCCCTGTTTGTCTGGGTTGCAGAAGAAGCCAATGGAGTCTTAGGGAGTGTAGAATTATTTGGTTTTCCTTGACTCCTATGCCTTTGAGTTCTTTAAAAGTGAGGATATTACAGTTTACTGCTTTCTGCCATTTTCCTAAAAAATTATATTTCCAGGAAGCTGCTGGGGATACCTTATTCCCCTGCTATCCCTGTCTCTAAAGAAGAGAAGATTGTTGCTGGGACCCAGTCACCCAAATCAGATCCTTTACCCTCTGAGAAGAAACAGAACAAACTTTCCTTGAGCAAGAAAAGAATAGAAGCAAGTAAGTATGAACAGGCAACCCCCTTAATATTAAGCTTGGGAGCTCTTTCTGATGTATTAGGGAGCTGGGAAAACAACAGATAGGGACATACAGGTTTTGACAAGAAACAATTAGACCATTGTTATGACTTTCTCTCTTTCTATCTGCTCTTGTTTTTTCAAAAGTAAAATTTTATTGATATCTTTTTGTTTTTTATCGCCTAAGCTGTAGTAGTCCCGGGTGTATCACATCTGCTGAGCAGATCCTTCAGCAGGGTCTGGTTTTTTTCTATAGCTCAAGGCCCAATGACCAAACCTGACTCTCTTCTAGATTCATAGAGAACACAATTGAGTTCTGGCAACTAGGTGGTGTAGTGGATAGAGGGCCAGGCCTGAAGTCAGAAAGACTCATCTTCCTGTAGCTATGTGACCCTGGGCAAGTCACTTAACCCTGTTAGTCTCAGTTTCCTCATTTGTTTTTTTTTGTTTTTTGGTTTTTTTTGGCAAGGCAGTTGGGTTTAAGTGACTTGCCCAGGGTCACACAGCTAGTAAGTGTCAAGTATCTGGTCTGTGACTGGATTTGAACTCAGGTTGTTAAATGTAGTGTTTCCTACTGGATGAAGAACTCTGTTGAAGAACTGTTTCCTCTCAAGTGCTAGGTTCTCCATAGTTAGCTCTTTTCTCTGCCGCCATTGGGTCACGTTCTTCTGAGCTATCTCTTGCCTCTATTCCCTCTTTAGCCAGTGTGTCTTATTAGAGTGTGGCTGATCCTTGGTAGCTGTCTTCTAATCTCATCAATTTTGATTAGAGAAGTCTTCTGCACTTCATAAAGGAATAACCCATTGTAAACTCTTATACTTTATTCAAGTCCTTAACAGATAGATAGATTATCTCATTATTTCTTTTACCTTCCTTTATCGGATTTCATCCACTGGGTTGGGAGGGAATCATTTGATCAGGTAGGTACTGATCAACTCCCTTTCCTCCCACCCCCACTTCCTTTCTTACTTTTTTTTTTAAAATTTGCAGTCATTGCACATACAGTTCTGGTTCTGCTGAATTTGTTTTGTTTCACTTAGTCTTACCTTAAGTCACTTAACCTCTCAGTGCTGTAGACAACCCTACAAGACTAAGTTTTAGAAAAGATGGGAGCTCCTTCACCGCCCTGTCCTCTATCACTTAGTAAAGATCTTTCCATATTTTCTTGTATGCTTCATATTTATAATATTTGATGGTACCATAACATTCTATCATATTAATGTGCACAATTATTCAGCAATTCTCAGAAGAAGAAATTGCTAAAGATAGAGGTTTTTTTCCAGTATGTTATTACAAGAAGAATGTGAATATTTTTGCACAGATTCTTTCTGCTTTTTATGACACTTTTGAAATGATGTCCTTGAAGTAGAATTGATTGATTTTGTGACTTTTGTTGCAAATTCCTGGACTGTTCTTCAAAATGTCAGCACCAATCTATCGTTCCAAGATAAAATATATTAGAGTGACTATTTTCCTATAGTTAGAACAATATTGCATTTTATCACTCAAGTAATTTTTTTCACCTATATATATGTCAACATTGCATTTGTCATCTTTGCCCGTCTGATAGGTAGAACCTCATATTTGCTTTAATTTGCATTTCTCTATTAGCGATTTAGAATAAGTTGTTATATTACTATTGATAGCTTGCAATTCTTCCTTTGAAAACTGCCTCATATCCTTTGACCATTTATTTTTGGGGGAATGGCTCTTAGTCTTATAATTTGAATCAGTTCCTTATGTATCTTGGAATGAGACTTATTGGAGACACTAGTAAAGATTTTTTTTCTAGTTACCTGTTTCCCTTCTAATTTTTGCTACATTAGATTTGTTTGTACAAAAACTTTTAAATTTTATATAATCAGAATTGACCTTGTATCTTGAACTTCTATCATTTGTTTAGTCATGAGTCATGAAATGTTCCCCTATCCATAGATCGAAGGCATCTTCCTCCTTGTTCCTCTAATTTGTTTATGATGTTAACTTTTTAAAAAATTAATTTGTTTTAAATTAAATACTAAAACAAATACACAATAAGAAAGGAAAAAGAAACATTATAAACTTAAATGTTAAAAATTAAATACAAAAATAAGAAAAGAAAAAAAAGCATTGCCATGTGCACAGCAGAATATGAAAGAATTCAAAACATACAATGATAAATACCATTTCAAGAAAGCCTTTATAATAAATACTACCCATTGTGTTCAGAGCTATTCATCTTTTCTTTGCTTCTTTATGTTTTCTTTTGTTCTCTGCTGTTCACTTTTTACTTTGTTCTTCCCCACCCCCTTCCTTTCCCCCGCTCCCCTAAGGCTACAATTAAGTGTGGATATATTTATAGATAGATATCTATATAGATGTAAATATGCACACACATATATATACACATACATATACTTAGATATCTATAATCATACTCATATATAACATACATATTCATATGTATCTATGTAAGACCATACTATACTTATTTGTCCTTTGTTTCTCTGAGGGTGGATAACCTCGTCCTTCATAAGTCCAAGTCTTTCCATATTTTCTAAGTCCACCAACTCGTAATTTCCTGCACCATAGCAATATTCCAGTCTTATACTGTCTAGTTATTTTAAATAGTCTAAAAGAATATTGATTAATATGACTGACATATAGTATAATTTCCCTATTTTTCTCTTTTGATTAAATCTATTTTACCTTTAACTTTGTCTGAGATCATGATTACTACCCCTGCTTTTTTTCTGTAATAAATTCTACTCCTGATCTTTATTTTATGTTTGCGTGTATATCTGATTTCCTATCCTTTTGAACTCCTCTGCTTTACTTCTACCCCACTACCTTGCCCTCCTATTACTTACCCTATCCCTCCTTCCAAGGATCCCTCCCTAATCCTTCCATTCCTGTTAATCTAAACATCCCTTCTGTACCCCTCCTTATCCTATTCCCTCCCGCTACCCTCTAGCAATCCCTCTCTTATCCTCTTCCCCATCCCTGTCCCCTTAGCCTTGTATTTCTTTCTGAATTTAGAAGACTTTTATACCCTTCTAGATGTACACATTCCCAATGAGAGTAGGGTTCCAAAAGGACCAGCCCTCCTCCCCTATCTGATTCCTCTGTGTCTCTGTGTCAGTTCTTCCTCTCGCACCTCATTTATATAAGATAATTACTCTTTTTACCTTTTCCTAAACGGCTTTACTTTTTAGCATCATATCATACACAGGTCTACTCCAACCTTTCTTTTGAAATACCCAATTACTTATAACAATCTTAAACATAGGTTTTACATTTCTTTCTATAAAAAGTAAAACAGTCTGTCCTTATTGAGTCCCTTGTAATTAGTTTTTGATATGTACGTTATATTTCTCTTGGATCTTTTATGTCAAATCTTCTATTAAGTCCAGGTTGTTGGGCTTGTTTTTTTTTTTTTTAACACTATCCTGAAAGTTTGACAGTTCATTAAAATGTCCATTTTTTTTTACCACTCAGGATTATGTTTAACTTTGCTGAGTATGATATTTTCAGCCGCAACCTCAGTTCTTTTGCTCTTTGATAGTTGTTTTAGCCTACTTGCTAATACTGTATTTGCAGTTTTTGTATCTGCATAAAAAAAGTTCACCTAGGATAAGATATGAAGCAGTCAAATGGGGGAAAATCATTGTGTCAAATTTTTCTGATAAAGGTTGCATATGTAACTAAAAGTCATTTTCTAATAGATAAGTGGTCAAACAGTATGAACAGTTCTTCCTTTCCTTTTAATCTTTCTTTATACTTCTCCCTCCAACACTCAAGATCATTTTGCTTATGTTTATTCCCTTACCTTTCTTGTCCTCCTTCTCAGGACCCTTCTTTACCCCTTCTTTGTCTGTTTTTCCTCCAGTTTCCCTCTTGAGTTTAATGTATTTCCATACTGAGATCTGTGTGTATGGCCAATTGTATTCAATCTTCTGTTATCTGATTCAGATGAAAGTGAGGTTCATAGGAGACCCATTTTCCCCCACCCCTTCCTCCGTGGCTATATACTTTTCATCTGATGGCTCCAATAGGTAATAGTGATTTCCTTCCTCTTCTTCCTTTCCTTTCCGTACAGTCTTTTATTTCTCCCTCCCGTTTTTGTCTTCTCCTATGACCATTAAAACAAATTGAAACCACCCTCTACCAATTTAACCTTTTTCTCTGACACTTTAGGGGCAGCTAAGTGGTGCAATGGATAGAGCAGTTGGCCTGGAGTCAGAAAGATGAGTTCAAATCTGGCCCCAGACACTTACTAGCTGTGTGACCCTGGACAAGCCGCTTAACTCCTATTTGCCTCAGTTTCTCATCTGTAAAATAGGGACACATTGGAGAAGAAAATGACAAACCACTCCAGTATCTTTGCCAAGAAAACCCCATAGACAAGTCCATGTCTCACGTAGAGTCAGACTTGACTGAGATTGAGCAACAATGACCCTTAAAGATAATAGTGTTCTGAGAAAACATCGTTTCTTATCCCTCTGTTAACATGTAAACTATTCATCCTCATGTATTCCCTCTCAATTAAACATTGCCTTTCTTTGTTTCTCTTGGTGCCTGCATTTCTGTTTCCAAATATCTATGTATTCAGTTCTGGCCTTTTCATCAGGATTGCTTAGAAATCCTCTATTCCATTAAAGGACCATTTCCCCTTCCATGTAGGATTATACTTAGTTTTGCCATATATGTTGTTCTTGGTTATAAACCATTACCTCTTTCCTTTTAGAATATCATATTCTAAGCTTTTATAGTGATAGCTAAGTACTCATTCTTGTGCAGTCCTAATTGTGGCTCCTTGATATTTGAATTTCTTCTTTTTGGTTACTTACAGTATTTTTCTTTCTTTTATCTGGAAGCTTTAGTTTTTGTGTATGACTTACCTGAAAGTTTTCATTTGGGCTTTCTTTTGAAAGTGATTGGTAGATTCTATCTGTTTAAATTTTGTCCTCTGGTTCTAAGAGTTTCTGAACACTTTTAATTTATCATTTCCTAAAATGTGGTATCCATATCTTCTCTGATCATAATTTTCAGATGGTCCAATAATTCTTAGATTATCACCCTTTGACCTGTTTCTAATATTACTATTTCTTTTTTTAAATTAACTTATTTATTTTTAGTTTTCAGCATTCATTTCCATAAGATTTTGAGTTCCACATTTTCTCCCCCCTCCTCCCCTCCCCCACCCTAAGAAGTCACGAAATCTGATATAGGCTCTATTGTTATCCAATTTTCCAAAAAATAAGTATTCTCCCATTTTTTATGGGTGCTAGTTTGCTATATACACTAATCTTTTATATGCATTTGATTCTGTTTCTGGGATTTACATTGTGTTCTAATTGTCATTTTTTTTCCACCTGCCTTTTTAATTGATATTTTTTAAAGGAAGTTCCAACTTTATTTTCTATGTTTTGTTTTGTTATCTTCCTAGAAGATGAGAAACCTGAGTTAACCAAAAGTGGTCATAAGCACAGACGGAAGGGCCAACCAAAGAAAATAGTGCAAGGCTACACCCAGATCAGTGATCAGGAAGAAGCTGGGGGAGAACGGACAAGCAATTTCAGTGAGTTTGGACACAGAAAATTTAAATAAATTGGGTATGAAAGGAAAGAGACAAGAAGTTGGAAGAGAGGAGATGGAAACCATGGGAAACCCAATGAGGATTGAATTGCATAGTTCCTCTCTCTGTCCCCCCTAGTATCTTTTCAATTCAGTTCAACAAGGGAAAGAGGAAGGATGGCTTCAGTGAGCTGCAACCTGATGAAGGAGATAAAAGTCAGACCTTAAAAAGAATTTACCAGTGCTAATATGTCAGGGGAGACCAAGGATCTGGAGAGGGGCCTAAGGAGTCTTCTTCTTTAGGGAGCTCTTAACATAAGGGAGACTCATTTTTATTGGAGAAAGGGGTTGAACGTTATTTGACAGCAGAAGAGAATTGGATCATCTTGAGAGTAGGAACTGTTTGATTTCTATCTTTGTATCCCTAGCACCTAGCATAGTGCCTAGCTAGCACATAGTGGATGCTTAATAAATGCTTGATGATTGATTGGTTATGGTGATGCCATAGAAACTGATTGGGACTGGGAATCAAGAAATCTGTGTTCTTATGCCATCTTTGCCACTAACTAACTTTGTGACCTTGGAAATTCACTAGACTTCTTTTTCTTATGTGAAAAATGAAGAGGTAAGTTCTCTAGCTCTGACCATGGGATGGTTCTGTGACTTCCAGAGAAACCAGCTAGGAAAGGGAATATTTCTAAGAGTCTCATTTTGCTTATGTCTGGTTATAGGTCAGTGTATAGCCTGGGCGCAATGCTCCTTCCCCAAGTGTGAAAAGTGGAGACGACTCCATGGGAACATTGACCCCTCAGTCCTGCCAGATGACTGGTCATGTAGTCAAAATACAGGTAAAACAAAAGGAAAGATTTGTTTTCTTCCATACATATACCCCGTTGATGTGTTTGACTGTTCAGGTGGAATAAATGTAACCTTAAAGGCTGTTTTTCAACAAAGCATTTCCCATTCATATGTTAAAGATTATATAAGATTTATTCATTGATGATGCATAAAGATAACTTTGTTCTATCTGGTTTTCAGTATCAAACAAACTCTTAAATAAAGGAGTTTGCCATTGTCATCTCAACTCAGCTCAATATTTAGTGCTTATCATGTTCAAGGCACTGTGGTAGGTATTGGGACAAAAATGAAATGATTCCAGCTCTCAAAGATGTTACATTCTACATATATACAAATAAGATTGGGAGAAGAAGGGGAGATGCTTTTCCTAGAGGATGATGAGGTTAAACTATGTGAAGGCATAATCTCTTTATCTCTTTAAGAAGATGAAAAGTTCCTTGATAGAAATGAAAGGGACAACTGCCATTGATTTATTGAAGATTGACCACACCTTTAGTGGCCCTTAAAAATTATGCCCTGCTAGCTTTGCAGTCAGTCCAGACAAAAGCCAGCAGCCAAGGAAGACTCTGGTTCCTAAAAGGGAATTACTCTTCACCAAGGGGGTGGGGTGGAGATTTTCCTTCCTTTCACCTCCCCTTACCCCCATTGGCCATGATGCCATAAAGGAGAGCTACTCATTCCATAGAAGACAGGGCCTCCTGAAGGGAAAAGACAGAGGCTTTTTCTGGGGGCAGAGAAGAGCTGAACAGCCCAGGAAAAGAGCAAGGGAATGAGACCACTAGAAGTCAAGGATTTTGTGGCCCTTTTGAATCCTAAGCACGTGTGGCCTTGGCTGCCCGTGTTCCCTCCATCTGAGCGTTACTGCCCATACACTCTAAATTTGTGCTTATTCTTCCTCAGACACCAGGTGTGTTTGTGGGAGAGTATGTCCTAGGTTTGTAGAGGGAATGTCTACTGTTCTTACTATGTCCTCTTAGTAAATATCTTGGCCTTGAGCTAATGATGTCAACTGGCAAATTACTAAAGGTAAGGCCACAGCTAGCAGCTCAGGGAACTATCATTTTAGGAGTGCAGATCCCACCCTTAAACCTCCTCTTGGAAGGGAGCCCAGAGAAGGTGCTACATAAGTAAATACCAAGTAACTTGAGAATGAGATCACTAACAAAAGGAGGAGAGGGAGTTTGGGAAGGTTTTATTAGGATATTGGAACTGGAAGAGACCTTGAGAACCATTTAGTCCAGCCCCCTCATTTTACAAATGAGTAAACTAAGGCTCTGCGAAGGGAAGGGGCCTGCCCACGATCACACAGACAGAATTTAAATCCAGGACCTCTGGAAGCTAAGCCTTAAAGAAAGATAAAGTATGGAAAACAGAGATAAGAAAAGATTGGGTTCTCCCTATGGGAGACAACCTGGTGAACACAGAGGAAGAGATGGAATGTCTATTTTGAGGAACAGTCCTTTTTGCCTGGAATGTAGAGAATGCGTGAAGTGTGTGAAGGGGAGCTGTGTGCAGTATGTCTTTGGGGTCATCTTGTTGAGGACTTCGAATGTGAGGCTGAGGAGTTTGTATTTTATACTAGAGGCAACCAGTGGATTTTGAGTAAAGCAGTGAAGTATTTAGTGCCTTTGGAAAAGCATTTTGGCAGCTGTGTAGATGAATTGGAAGAGGAAAAATATGGAAATAGAGGGACAAACTAGGAGGTTATTAAAGTAATCAAAATAAGGGCTGTCAGAGACCTGAAGTGTGATGATAGTTGAGTGGAGAGAAGAGGACAGGATGCAAGAGATACCTTGGGAAGAGAACCAACTAGTCGTGGCAACTGGAAGGATTTGGGTAGGGGCTGAGGAGAGGAAAGAGGCCATGATGATTCTAGAGTTAGAAATCTGGGTGTCTTGGAGGATGGTGATGTCCTCAGCAGAAACAGGGACGTATGAAGCAAGGGCAGGGTGAGAGGGAAAGATAGTTAATTATGTTTTGGAGGTGTTAAATTTAAAATATTGATGAGTGGAGACATCATATTTGCAGTTGATCCTGTGGGACTATTGCTTAAGAGAAAGATTAGGGAGATATGGATAGATAGATAGATAGATAGATAGATAGATAGATAGATAGATAGATGGAAAGAAGCAAAGGAAGGAAGGAAGGAAAAAAGAAAAAGAAATTAAAAAAAATTTTTCCCCCCTGAGGCAATTGGAGTTAAGTGACTAGCCCAGGGTCACACAGCTAGTAAGTGTCAAGTGTCTGAGGTCAAATTTGAACTCGGGTCTTCCTGACCCCAAGGCTGGAGCTCTATCCACTGCACCACTTAGCTGCCCCAGAAAAAGAAATTCTTAATCTAGAGTAGCAGTTCTCAAAGGGGCAGCTGGGTGATGGCAGTAGATAGAATGCCAGGCCTCAAGAAGACTCATCTTCCTGAGTTCAAATCCAGTCTCAGACACTTACTAGCTGTGTGACCCTGGGCATGTCACTTAACCCTGTTTGCCTCAGTTTCCTCATCTGTAAAGTGGGCTAGAGAAGGAAATGACAAACCACTTCAGTATCTTGGCAAGAACATCCCAAATGGGGTCACGAAGAGTCAGACACAACTAAAAAGTGACTGAACAACAACAGTTCTCAAATATTTTGGTTCCAGGATTCCTTTACACTTAAAAATGATTAAGGCATCCTCCCACCAAGAGCTTTTGTGAGTTATATCAGTATTTACCATATTAGAAATTAAAATGTCTTAGTATGAAATTGTTTTGACCTAATGACTGTGGGTAACTCCAAACACACTTAAAGAACCTAAAGATAAGTGAACCCATGGAGGCAGATGAGGTCACCAAGGGAAGGACTGTAAAGAAAAAAAAGAAGGCACCCAGGATAGCCTTGGGGGAAGAAGATGGAACAGGATCTAGTAAAGCAGATTGAGAAGTATTGATTAGACAAGTCAGAGAAGAATTGAAACTGGGCAATGTTATGGTATCTATCCAGTGCATTGGGAAGAGAGGGTGGTCAGAGATAGGTGAAGGAGAACAAAGGCTATCTGTTTAAGGAATCTTGGTACCTTAAGAAAAAGCAGTTTCAGAAAAGTGGTCAGATGTCAGATTGCAAGATACTCTATCCTGTTCTCCCTTCTCGTCTCCACCTCCTGACTTCCTCCAAATCTCAGCTAAAATCCTACCCTCTACAAGAAGCTTTTCCATATCCCCCTTAATTCTAATGCCTTCCCTCCACTGAGTATCTACTTTTCCTGTATACAGCTTGTTTTGTACATGGTTGTTTGCATATTATCTCTCCTATTCGATTGTGAGCTCCTTGAGGGCAAAAACTGTCTTTTACCTTTCTTTATATTTCTAGCACTTAGCATAGTGCCTGGCACTTAGAAGGTGCTTTATAAATGGTTATTGACTGACTGATTAGATGAGTATTTCTAAAGTTTGGTAGTGAAAGAGAAAAGCTGGAAATGGCAAGGCTGTGTGAGAGGTTTTTTTAAGAATGGGGGAAGCCTGGGCATGTTTGTAGGCCTTGAGGAAAGAACCAGTGGTTAAGAGAAATTTAAGTTGAGAAAGAGAAAGGGTCTGGCACAGTGCTGAAGGAAGGAGACACACACACGGCACAGGCAAAGGCATAACCCCTTCTCTACCCCTTTTTGAAATCACACCTTATCACCTGGAGGGCTGCATCTAACCGGGCTGCCAGCTGGAAACTACCTCTTTTTCTGCCAAGTGTGATACCTTGAATCTTCAGCTCTTTTGGCTCCGCATCAAATTAGGTGACTCAGTGGCTGAGTCATATATGACTGGAAGCCGGCCCTGCACTGAAGTAAGCAGAGAGTATCTGCTTGGGGAAGGTCCCATTGAGTACAAAATAGCTGGGACAGCAGCTGTCATCTCAGCTGAGGGAAAGGAGAGAAGAAATGGGCTGAATCTGGAGTTTAGGTTAGACATTACAAGGATTCCTTCATCGTGAAAATTGTTTGATATTAGGGAAAGTGATAAAGGGATGTTTTATACTCTAAGACCCTTTAAAAGAGGGAATGACTTATTCATCTGGGATTGGTACAGTGTGAAGGCTGGAAGGACTGAACGCTCAGGGAGAATTTTTTCTGGCAAGTTCTCTCCAAGGAACGGTATATATAAATATCTGTAGAGTCTCTTGAAATCGTATGGAAAGGAGTACTCTCTGGCTGGTATTTTTTCTCCATGCCCTTATCTCAGATGCCTTCTTTGTCCCACTTCTTATATGAGGGTACCAGCCCCTTCTTTCCTTTGCCAGAATTCAGCCTTCTAGGTTCTTTTTCTGCCTCATCTCCCTTATCCCTCTTCACAGATTTGCAGTTTAACCATTGTGACATTCCTGAGGAAACCTGGTCAGGGGGTGAGAGCGATGTGGTTTATGCCTCCTACATCCCAGGATCCATCATCTGGGCCAAGCAGTATGGTTACCCCTGGTAGGAAATAGTGGGACTATTCTGAGCTTATAGGAATAGGGAAAGGAAGTGGGGCTGGGGAAGGAAGAGTAAATGGAGGTTCTTTATAGTGGAAATAGAACGGGTGAAAGGAGACTGTAGTGGAATTTTAAGTCAATAAAAAGGATGGAGGGCTGAGGTGGGAGGCTGTTTCTGTGTTACCCACCTTCCTGACAGGGGAAACAGAAGAGAGGGTGGTTCTCAAGGCATAATTTCTGATTTTGAAGTGTATGAGACCTGCAAACTGAAAATAAGGACAGAAAGGGTATGTCCTCTGGAAGTGTGCTCACACAGGACAGCTCAAACCCTTTGTTCTGAGTTGAGTGAGAATGTATTAGGACACCTGGGGAGGGCAAAGGGTAATGTTGAAAGGAGTCTGAAATTCTCCAGACACTGTCCCCATCTCCTACCAGCCATTCACATTCTTTGGCCATGCTATAGAAGGGAGCTAAGATTGAGAAAGAGGACATCACAAAGACTTCTTGTTGAAAAAAATCTGTTTTAGGAATATGTTGTTATGGGTGGGCTTGGGCTCAGTTCATGCAGGGCCCTAATCTTCCTTCCCCTACCAATCTCTGTTGTGCAGGTGGCCTGGAATGGTAGAATCAGATCCTGATCTGGGAGAGTATTTCCTCTTTGCTTCTCAACAAGATGTCCTGCCTGTGAGTTTGACCTTGCCTGACAACTTCTTTTCTTTGTGGAATGTGGGGATCAGATCCCCACAGAGCATTTGACTAGAAAAGAAGGTGCTTGCCTTAGGATTTAAAGACCCTCCTACAAAGACAAATGTATATAAATAGGTATAGGGTCATACATACAGGTTAAGGGACACAAGGAGAAACACATACATACAGTTGTCTGCTGTTAGAGACAAACACCCAGAGGTTTGTGTAGAAACAGATGCAATGTCCCTTATTATGACATGATTTTAATATTCATGGAGAAATACATGGAGAATAGAAACTGCTAAGAGCTGAATGAGAGACAAGTATAAGACAGTAGAAAGGAAAGGCATTAGATTTCATAAAGAATTCCCTTAAGAGATAGGGTGGGGCTCAGGTAGCATACGAAACCAGGTGTGTACTTCCCAGGGGCTTCCCAAACTTTCTCCCCTGCCCCAGTTTTTGTAGGCTAGGAGACCAAAAGTAGGGGAAGGACATAGGGCTTTATCAGGAGCATCTCTCTGATTCCAGTCCAAGTACCATGTGACATTTTTTGGGGACACTGCTTCTCGAGCCTGGATCCCTTCCAACATGTTGAAGAACTTCCAGGAGCTGTCCCTGGAACAGATTGAACCGGTGAGGAGCTCTCAGGAGTCAAGGGTAGAGGGAACCTCCTACTTCACCATATCCCTATCAGTGTCCTTGGGCTTCCTTGGAGTCTCTTGGGAGAAGTTTGTTTTGAAATCTGGAGAGGGACAAGCCCCAGTTTGAGACTGCCTGTGAAAGCCTCTGCTCTCAGATGTCAGCCAACATCCAGCCAGTAAGCCTTCATTCCCTTGAAGGTCCTTGACTGTAGCCTGTTGGTCCCAATATATGTGATTGTTTAGAGCTGGAAAGGAACTTAGAAGTCATCCAAAAGGACTGAGTGACCTGCCTTGCATTGCACAGGTAGTAAATTACACAGCTGGGAGTTGAACTCAAGTCTTCTGACTTAAAATCCAGACCTCTTAATGCAATTGAAATAACATTGGTAGGAATGTGGGTGCAGGTCAGTACTGCCCAGTGCCAGCTGGGGTTAGACCAGTTCTGAAAGTGAGAATGGACTCTGGGAAATCAGGTATCTGGGCCTAAAGGAAACCAGAGCACACACCTAGAATTTGTGGAATCAGCTCAGCCTCACCCAGCACACTTGTCTAGATCAAGCTTCCCTCATATCTATCTTAGAATGTCTAAGGGAAACTCCCTCTTTGTTGGCTGAAACTATTGCTGGGTGTGGGGGATCCTGAGCCTGGGAAAATGGAAAGCAGGAATAGCTTAGCATAACTAGGAGGCCTTTGTAGATTTTAGAGGGTTGGCATGTTGGAAATATCCTCGGGTTCACTCCTCCTGTCCTCACCATTAAATGTAGCCAACTCTAAATGTTTAACTTTTTGGCATTCCAGAAAAAGATCAAGAACAAAGACTGTAGCCAGAAGCTGATGGCAGCCCTAGTGATGGCTCGAGAGGCCCAGCAGATCAGTATTCAGGTGGAAAAATGTTTAGACCCCTCTGATCACTCCTCAGCTACCCTTCTCCCTGGAAAAGATAAGACTGTGTCCTCTCCCACAGCACAGTCATGATCTGAAGACTTGTTACCCTCTTCCTCACCTACACGCCCTACCTTATTTAATCTGATTCCTTCCCCTACCTCTGGGAAAGGTAGTCTCTCTCAGTCCCTCCTGTGCTAAGAAAAACTCCAGCTCCTTTCCAGCCTCAAGTTTCTCACTTCCAAGAGGTCTAGCCTTGCTCCCTCTTGCTATAATTTCAGTTGTCTACCTTAGGTTGCTCTGCCATTAGGAAGGATAAGCCACAGTGATTTCATCTCCTTCAGAAGTCACAGATATAATAAAGTATTAAAATGAGCTATAATTAAGGCGAATCCATAACAAATTGAACAAAAATAGATGAAAAACCTAAGCAAAACCTCGGAAATCCAAATCCAAAAGGATCGAAGCTGCAGAAAAACCCTAGGGGTTGGTTGCAGAGCAGAGAGGAGCTACATTTCCAAGGGCAGCTAATGGGCTTGTTTTTCCTGCCTCTGTTCCCATCTCTTCTCCCTTCCTCCCAACCCCTTTTCTAGGATCGAGTTAGCTTGTTTGGTTTCCACACCCGCTATAAGGAGAATGCAGCAGAGTCTGGGAGCAGTGAGGAGGGAGGAGGTAGGGACAGCCGGCTTGGAAGGGAAGAAGACCAGGGAGGGAATGAGGAGGGAAGGTTGGGGTGGGGGGTGAAACATGGGATATCACTTGGAGGGGTGAAGCTGTCTTCTGCTTTTTTGTCTCCCTTTAACTACCCAGTTCAGGGCTCTTTACATAGAGAAGAGCCAGCTTAATAAATGAGACTCTTAGGAAGGAATAGAAAACAGAGGATAGAAGGGGAGGAGATAGGGGAATCAAGTTGGTGATTAGATCTGTGAAGAGGGAAGAGCATAGGTCTAGAATTTTGTATGTTTCAGAGAATATAGCACAGAAGTAAAGGGAGGTGGAAGAAGATATACACACTGGGCTGAGCTTTTAAAAAATAACTATTTGAAGTGTCCTCTTATCTATTCTAGACTTATTTTTCCAAGAAGCTAGAAAGCCTCAAAGGGCTGGAAGCTCAAATTCTTGTATTTCAAAGGAAGAAAACAAGGTAAGATCTGCCTTACAAATTGGTCTAAATGTAGATCTCAGGGTTTCCTCTCAGTGTACTCTACAGGGTAATCCTATTAAATTCAAAGAAGTATGGTGCCATCTGGTTGGCATGGGCCACTTATTCATCTTGTTCTTGCCACAGAGCATTTCAAACACATCCGTCTTCTAACCTTAAAGATCTCTGGATAAGAAACATCCACTTTTTTACTCATTTAGCTATTTATTTCTAGGTCGGTTCCTAAGAAGGATGACTGTTTCCAGGTTCCAGATACTTTATAGTTCTAAATACCTAAAATTGTAGCTCTTGAGCCCCCACCATTTATCTTTAATAATCAACCAGTTGACATACTTGGCTCAAAGCAAAGTATTCAGTAAGATGACACAGCAGGAACAGTGGTGTCAGAACATCCCCCCCATGCACCACAAATATTTAGAGCATCAGTGGGAGGATCAAGTACATACATAGAGTACACAAGTAGAAATGCATACATGTAGGGAACCCATGCGGCCAAGGCAGTTCACATCTCAGGTCCTCTGATCCTAGATGTTCTCCTTTTTTTGGTTGTCCTTCTGCTGTTCCACCTGGCTGTAGCATCTTTACTGGACAGGTCACTCATCTGAGCTTCTTTGGCCTGTTCCTTTCTGTAGCTCAACCCCTAATGGCAACCCCAGGTTTTCTGCTTAGACCGACTGAACATACTCCCTCTTGGGTTTGGCATCTCCTGTGGACAAGTAGCTCCATTCGAGATGCCATGACTTGTGGGAGTCTAATCTCCCCCCTACAAAAAGGGGGAAATTTACCTCTGAAGGGCTGGCTCCTTCCATAGCTAGCTGGCTCTTTCTTAGGTTCACAGAGCTTACATTCAGAGTTTTCTCCTGCCTCAACTGACTTCTGATAGTGTGTGTGACTGTGTATGTGTCTGTGTGAGTGTGTGTGTGTGTGTGTGTGTGTATTGCTTTTTAAATGGCCACTGATGAGTAGCCAGCCTTCCAGACTGCCAGTGGCTAGCTGCTCTAGAATTCCATCAAGCATAACTGGAGAACCATACACCTCCTAAAAGGGTAACAAAGTGCAAACCCTTTTGTATTTAAAGTCTTAACAGTTCTTTTTTGTTACCTGCCCTTTTGTTACCTCTCTTTTGTAAATTGATCAAATATGCTAGAAGAAAATTAATTGCTCAGGAATTCCTTGAACCCTTGACATATTAAAATTTGAAAATTCTTTCTTGAGTCTAACTTTAGTCCCACATATTATTTCCTTTGGTCATATCCCCAGTGAATATAGAGAATATCAGTCATTCCTCTCTCCTCCACCCACATGTGAAATTTTAAGACTTTCATAATGTTAACAGTTGGTATTTACTCACTGGTTTCCTTTGGCTTCTTTCTCTTTTCCAGGCAAACTAATTCAACAAATTCAATTCAATTCAGCAAACATTTACTAAGTGACTATTACTACATATTAATATGTAAGGTGTTATGCTACGTGCTGAGGATGCAAAGATAAATACCACAAAGGCCCTGATCTTAATGATATTAAATTTTAGTAGTCGGGAAAGACATGTACACAAATAATTTTGTCATGGGGAGAGTGAGATAAATGTAAAGGAAAGATCCAACATCATATGAATAATATGAAGTTTTCTATTTGAGGTGCTGTGGGAAGATCAAAGAGGACAGGACAGAGGAAGGAGATCATGTTCATTGGCAGGATGGGTTAGGGTTAGGGAAGGCATTTTGAAGGAGATGGAACCTGACTGGGATACTGAAGAAAGAAAGGGACTTTAATAGAGGAGATAGGGGGAGCAAGGGCATGGAAGAAGAGCATGAATAAAAGTGCAGAGAAGACAGGATAGGAATGGGGATAGAGAGCAGTTCTGTTTAACTAGAACACAAATTATGTTAAAGTAGTATAAGATAAGGCTGGAAAGGTAGGTTGGAGCAAGGCTGGGGAGGGTCTGGAATACAGGGATCAGGATTTGATTCAGTAGGCAAATGGGGCACCACTTAAGGGTTTTGAGTAGAGAAGTAATATCAGAATGGTGCATTAGTAACATCTTGGGGACAGTGATGTGGAGAATGGTTTGGAGAAAGGAGAAGTTTGAGGCAGGAAGACATATTAGGAAGCTATTCTGAAAGTTTAGATGAGTTGAGATCCTATGTTAGGGTGGTTACTGTTGGGGTAGAAAAGAAGGGATGGCTGTGAGATTTTTTGGGGGTAGAATCAATAGGACTTGGAAATTATTTGAATATATAAGTTGAGGGAAAGAGAAGGGTGAAAGATGATTCCAAGATTATGAGCTTGAGTGATTTGGAAGATGGTGATGCTAATTACAGAAACAGAGAATTTAGGGAAGACAGGCTTAAGAGACAAGATAAATTTAGTGTTGGACATGTTGACTTAGAGGTGCTAGCATCCATGTGGACATACCGAGCAGCAGGGGCATGCCGCAGCCAAGAAACAATTATTCACTTTTTAGCGTGAGAATGCACATCTCTGATATCAGCAAATGATACAAAACAGGGCTTGGTTTATGCTTATGTTGATTTTCTAGATTTAAGAAAGTGATGGAGAAAATATTAATAGTGCAGATTAAACTTAAAAGTGTGTCACGTACGCTTTTTTTTAGGCGAACCAGTTGTTAAACATTTACCAGCATACCCTAGTATTAGATTGGAAATTGGAAATACTAGAGCATAGTGGAAATATGAAGGTGGAGATCTAGATTTCTGAGTTATCTTTATAGATATGATTGAAGTTTGGGAAATGGATGAGATCACCAGTAGAAAAAGTGTAAGGAGAAAAAACCAAAAGGACTAAGGATAACTTTGGGGGAATCCACAGTTAAGGATTGGGGTGAAGATGAGCCATCAAAAGAAATAAGAAGAGAACTGTGAAAGCTCAGCATCAGAGGCCATGGGAGGAGGGCTATCAAGGAGACGGTGGTCTGTAATGGCAGGTGCTTCAGGAAGTTCAAAAAGGATAATTAGGAAAAAAAAGACAGTTGGATTTATTGATAGGAGGAGGATTCTGATAAGGCTGTTGGTGACCTTGGAAAGAACACTTTAGTAGAGAGGTGAGAATAGCAAGGTTACAAGGAATTACAAGGATTTAAAGGAATGGGTACATGGTAATAAAGCAGAGATGGCAAATGCAGAATTTTGGTACCAAAAGGGACTGATTCTAAGGTCTCACATTTCCTTTGTAAGTTTAATTTCCCAACTCTTAATCATACTTAATGATTAAGTCACTAATCCTAATCTATATCCTTTCTAATTATGTTCTTTCTCTCAATCTTCCCCCATATCCATCACTTAATTACTATGGGTCTCAGTTTCATCATCTGTAAAATGAGGAGGTTGGCCTCGATGGTCTCTCAGTTCCTTTCCAGCTCTAGTTGTGTGATTCTGTGATCTTGACATGAAGCCCTTAATTATGCAGAGCTGAGCGTGTTGAGGTTACCACACAGCTCCCTTCTTTCTCCATACTGTACAGTGAACCAAATTTACTCTCCTTTTCCATCAGCCACTTTGGAGTGTTTCATTTCATTAAAAACATAATGTTAAGGCTTAGTTCTTTTCACCCTTTATCTCCCTCTCCCAGGAACCCAGTTCAACTAATTACAATCCAGCACACACCTCCAAGGAGAAACTCAAACTAAAAGGTGAGGGGCCAGCTGGAAATAAGAAATGCCTCTGGGTTGGCACGGGAGCCCCCCAAACAAGAAAGGGATACTCAGGTAGGAAAGAGCCCTCGTGTCCCCTCACCAGGCTGCGACTCTTTTCCTATTCTAGCTTTTTTTGCATTCCAATCCTGATCACTGCCTCAGCTCTAGACCCTAGAATTGAAAGAGACAGCAGGGTTAAAAGACAAAGAGTTAAAAAACCTCAGAGGGAAGGAGTTGGGTGCCACTCAGGAACATGAAGAGCCCTTCTTACCTTTGTATCCTATTATGAAAAGCTGAAAGATCTTTTCTTTTTTCTTAGCTAAGTAAGACTGCCTGGAGGAGGCAGGCTTTGAGGAGATATGTGAAGAGAAGTGAGAAGGGTGCAGATGGACAAGACATAAGTGGGTTGAGGTGAGGGTAGAGTAGCTGAACCAAAGAAAGAGAGTGTGCATGGCACAGCTGAAACTGAGTCTCTAGCCCCTTGCCAGCCTAGCTTGGAGACAAATGCAATAAACTTCTTTGTTGTCTGGGGGTGGGGGGTGGGGACACACTAGATGAGCAAGATGAGACACCTAGAAGGAAGAGAAATAAGACGTCCCCTTCACAAGACAGCACCTCCGTGGAGAGAAAAGGAGACAGTGAGAATTCACAGTCTGACCAGCCAGGTATGAACTGAGACCTGGAGAAAAGGTACACAAATGTAGCATTTGAGGAGCTGCGTATCTTCACTACTATTATTACCAGGGCTAATACTCCCTAGATTTCTTCCTGTGGGGAAAATGATTCATCACTGAACTCCACCCTCTATATTTAGTATTAATTTAGCATTACCACTTTTAATTCCTTTAAAGAGATGGCATTGCTCCAAAGGGGAGGGACTAAAATTTTAATAGAGGAGGAGGTATCTCTTAAGTGACAGTGCCTAGTATACGTTCTTATGTATAGTAAGCACTGAATAAATATTTGCTTGATCAAGGCACCCGGGAATGAGGGAAACTAGGTCATCTTCCCTGGAAATTAGTGTGATAGGAACCCAGTATACAGTGAATTTGACTCAGAAAAGTTGATTACAGACACAGCATACTCTCACCCTTACTTCCTTTTCCGTTTAGGCCTTAAGAAAAAATTTACAACTCCCCAAAGAAAGACCACAGTGACCGAACTGCCTGGGAGAGGAGGAGATAGAGCTCCCCAAAACCAGACCCCACCAGCCCAAAGTCCAGCCTGGCCTCTGGTGGAGGCAGGAAAAAAGAGTGATCCCCAGGGCTCACTGGTACTGATGTCCAAGAACCCTCTCCCTGAGAATAAGGCCTCCAGTGACCTGAAGCTAGAACAGCTCATGGAAGAAGTTAGAGGAGGGGTTAACTCAAAGGGGGAGCATCAGGCTCCCGTAGAAGAGGAGAATGAGATCTCTTTGGTTTTATCTGAGGAATAGTTGTGTGTAACTTCATCTCTCATTCTTCCCTCCCTCCTCAGCAACTCTCTAACTCTTTTTCAGTGTGTTGGAGGTGAAGTGAAATCCTCTAGCAGATGTTATTGAAAAAGTTTATATTTGTTAATGTTGTTTGTTTGTTTAACTCCAATTTGAGCAATAATAAAGCAAGTTACTGATTTAACTGGCAATACGCTTCTCATTTCCTTTTATTTGTCCCACCCCTGTCCTGATTTTTGGTGAAAGGCCTACAAGAGCACTGGTGGTAATGGATGGCAAGACATCAAAATCTTGTAACAAATAGTTAAAAAAGTCTAAAGGATCCTCTTTATAAGGTCAGGCTCCCTATGACATGAACCTGGTCTGTGTGAGTGGAGAGCTAGGGTCCCTTAGTCTCTTAGGACAGGATGATTCCCATCTAGGCTGTGGGTCATACACTTAATTTTCCTTTTTCCTGTGGCAAGGTATTAGAAGTATACATAAAGAAAACTACCTAGTGCCAGATTAGAGAGGTCTATTTAAGCCCTCCAGGTTCTCATTCCCTAGCCTTAACTTGACCCATAATCTTCTAGGCCAGAGCCCCGTGTCAGTTTCCTGCTACTTTTAACTCTTGAAATGAGTGAGATCTTCTCTGGAATTGTTCAGACATGTCTTCCTCTTTGTGATCATTTTTCTTGGCAAAGATACTGGAGTGGTTTGCCGTTTCCTTCTCCAGCTCATTTTATAGATGAGGTACTGAGGCAAATAGGGTTTCAGTGACTTGCTTAGGGTCACACAGGTAGTAAGTGCCTGAGGTTGGATCTGAACTCGTATCTTCCCAGCTCCAGGTCAGTGCTTTATTCATTGTACCACCTAGCTGCTCCTGCTCTGACATAGTGGCCTCCAAAAGTCTTTGATTGTGCACCCCATCAGTTGAAAAAAATGACTCCTTACAAATTAGATACAGCGCTATTATAATAATGGGCATGTAACACTGGAGGGTAGCATTACAGATGTTACTCAGTCCTTTCTGCTCTTTCCTCCCTTTCTGGAAGGGGCTGGAGCTTAACTCAACTCTGCCTCCTTTCCTTTCTCTTCTGGTAGGTTGGAGAGTTAATTAGGCACACCCTGCTAACAACATTTTAGTTTAGGAACAATGTAATGGCCCTCAAGTCCATTTGGTCCCTTTTTCTGATATCTTATGGAATTTATATCAGATGAAAAATTATTAATAGAATGTTATGTGAGTTCTCTCATCCACTGCCGATAAGCTGGCATGGGAGACAAACACAGGAAAAACTGCACTCAGAGTGAAGCCCACCCCCCTAGAATACAATGAACATGAGTCTATGTGATAATTCAGCAGAGGACATTTATGTATTCCCCTCCCCAAAGCTACTGGAGCCAAGAGAGGAATAACAGGGAAAATTATTTCTTACTGAGCAGCCTGATCAGAGCAGGTTGATCTCCAGATAGGTAAATGTATTTCTTAAAACAAAAGAGGATCCTTATCACTTGTTACAAAGGACAGAATGTGTCCTTGTTAGCAGAGCTATTTATACTGTCAGCCCAAAGAAAACAATACTTTTTTAATCAGTCAACCAATAATCATTTGTCAAATCTTGCTACATACTTTTATTGTTGTTCAGTCCACCTCTTGACCCCACTTGGGGTTTTCTTGGCAAAGATACTAGAGGGGTTTGCTGTTCCCTTCTCCAGCTCATTTTACAGATAAAGAACTGAGGCAAATTGGGTTAAATGACTTGCCCAGGGTCACACAGGAAGTCTGAGACTGGATTTGAACTCAAAAAGATGAGTCTTCCTGATTCTAAGCCCAGTGCTCTATCCACTGTGCCACCTGGCTGCCACTACATGATGACCTTAAAGCAAACTGTCTCCTTCAAAATCTCCCTCTTAATGGCTTTATGACTACAAAAGAGGTCTGAGAGGACTTTGATAGTTCAAGGAAGTTATCCCTTTCTGCTTTATATTACCTGATAAAGCATATATATAGGTGGCACAGTGGATAGAGTGCTGGGCCTAGAGTTAGGAAGGCTCGTTCAAATCTGGCCTCAGACACTTCCACCTGTGGGACCCTGGGCAAGTCACTTAATCCTGTTTGCCTCGGTTCCTCATCTGTAAAATGAGCTGGAGAAGGAAATGGCAAACCACTCCAGTATCTTTTCCAAGAAAACCCAAAAAGGGGTCCTGAAGAGTAAGATACAACTGAAACAACTCAACAACAACATAATGTAGTAAAAAAGGGCACATCAAGGGCAAAATGGAATCAGTGATGTTTTCTCTAAAATCAACTTTCAGCAATCACACTAACTCAGAAGGTAAGAAAATCCCTAACATTCAGATAGGTCTGGCTCTGTCTCTAACTAAAATTTTATATATTTCCAGCTCTGTCTTATTTATGTTGGAAAAAAAAAGATCAGGATACAGGCAATGCTTCAGTAAAAGAAGCAAGTAGAGTATATTGTAGTTCTGGTTATTGAACAGGCATGGGGTAGGGAATTAGAGAAAGAGTAGATAAACCTTTGGGAACTTTCCCCATCCTTGAAGAGGTGATTCAACCTGAAACTTGTTCCAGGATACTTGCAAGAGGCCAGATGGGCCACCTTGACTTCTCCCTTCCCTAGCTGCAGCTCAGCTCTTCCTTCAGTTCTTTCCAGCTTGGCTTATTAAGTCTTGGGCTTCCTGGGGACTCGATCTCCCCCACTGCTTCTGCTGCTCTATTCATTTGGTCCCCATCCTCTGTCTACTTACTCACAGACTCCATGTGTCTCTTTAAAAACTCCCTGGGAAAAGTAATGGAACATGCTACATTCCTCCTGACAGTGAGGTGAAGAATGAGACATATTTTTGGACAGAGCTACAGTGAGAATTTATTTTGCCTGATTATTTTGTTTGATCAAGGAATTCTCTTTTCTTTCAGCATGTTATTTTTTTTGGGTGTGGGTGGGGAAGGTTGGGAAGTAAAGGGGCACCTAGGATTACCAAAGTAGGGGGAAAAGAAGAAATATAAGATAAGAAGACCATTGAAACATTTTAAAATATGCAGAAGTCAGGAGGAAATACAGATAAGCTTTAAAAAGAACATAGTGAATCTGTTGTGTATTTGGAGGGATATTCAGATGTTACTGGTGCAAATTTGTGAGTACATGTGCAATCCTATTACTCTATTCTGCTTCGTATGTGGGAAATGCTTGTCTTATTTGATGTTTCTTAAGTTTAGAGTAAAGGAAATTTAATTTAGAAAGGCAAACCAAAAATTCCTGAGCATTACTCAAGTCCACCTTCCAGCTCTAAAATCATTATTGTTGTCGTTGAGTCATTCAGTTGTATCTGACTCTCTGTGTTTGCCCTTTCACTCTCCAGCACATTTTACAGATGAGGAACTGAGGCACACAGGGTTAAGTGACTTGCCCAGGGTCACACAGCTAGTAAGTATCTGAGGTGGATTTGAACTCAGGTTCTACTGACTCCAGGGCCAGAGCTCTATCCACTGTACCACCTAGCTGCCACATAAGATCATTATAGTAATCCAGAAAAATTGTCGGGATTGAGAAGGAATGTTTGTTGCTATGAACTTCATACCCTAGAATCCCATCAGTTCTCAAACTCCTATTACATGATGTTTGGAATTTTGCAATCCCTTACAAAATTGGCTGCAGTGCACTTAACATCTGGACTTAGTATAGTTTTAAATTACATCAACACTTAATGGAACAAAGATGATTAGCCCAGCATACCAGGGTGTTAGTCTTTGCAAATATTCATCAATAATGTGTGCAGTAGATTAGGAGTTCTTAACTTGGGGTCTGTGATCTTTAAAAAAAAATCACTATTTCAATAATGTTTCTTTTGTAATCCTTTATATTTTATTTTATGCATTTAAAAACATTACTCTGAGGACCATAGACTTCACCAGACTGTAGAGGGAGCCATGACACCAAACAACCTACAACCCTACAGGAGACTCAGTACAATGCAGAGCATCATTTGACTGGTTGCTTCAGTGACTACAGATCTAAATTAAAGGCAGGATATGTTAGGAGTGTTTCAGCGGCAGAGTTACTGTGTTTCAACAGTACATATATTTGTGCTACACATTGTTTGCATAACAGCAAACAAAATCAAAGCAATAATATCTGCATGCCTACAGAATAACAAAATGAACAAAATAATGAGATTATTTGCACATGACTAACAGAAAAAACTAAACCAGCCAACAAATTAATATAGTTAGAAGGCATGCCATACACAGAAAATAAGCGTAAACCAGAACAAAGAAATAGTCAGATGCGTATATTAAAGGTACAACAATTAACATGTGAATCAATAAACATATCAGCTAGGGCTCATAGTGCAGAAGTAAGCAGTATCATCTGGCTATGTGTGTAACCATTTCACCAAGTTTAATCTGGGACGTCGTTAGTCAGTCTCTGGTTGGATAGACCTCTCTGTCTCTATACCAGTTCTATTGGATGGTATGGACTGATCACAATTCTCATCACAATTATAGTCCTGCCTTCCTAAATCTGAACTTGCAGAGGACTCAGACCAGTTAACGGTGTTATTATGCTCAGTGAGGTATCCCTATGTCCTATGAATCTTTATGACTGAAGCAATAATGGGCAGAAAAGGGGAGGAAGGAAATATGCATTTATAGGGAGGGAGTATGCATTTATATAGTACCTATTATGTGCCAGACACAGTGCTGAGTGATTTACAAAACAAACTTGGGAGGTAGGGGCTATTATTATCCCCATTTTACAGTTGAGGAAACAGGTTAAGTGACTTACCCAAGGTCACACAGTAAGTGTCTGAGGTCAAATTTGAACGTAAGTCTTCCTGACTCGAGGTCTATTGCTTACCTCTGGGTTCAGTCCTCTCCCATTATCGGAACCAGTTGTTCTTCACTTGGACTGTCTGTTTCTGAGCTGTCTGGGTTAGGCAGTCTTTGCATGACTGGAAAGCAGTCCCTTTCACTTAAGAGTCTGCTGAATGTCTGTCAGTCTCCACTCATCCAAATCTAATTGTCTAATTCATCTACTGGTAAGAAATTATTGTGGTACATTGTGCATGCAGGCTCTCCTGTCCCTCCTTCTAGCCTTGGAGACATTTTGTAAACAGGCAATTTGCCCAGTCTTTCCACACCTAAGTATGGACTTAGTGTCCTATAAAACACCAACATTTATCAGCA